GTGGAAAATATAAATAATATATCTGAAGAAAACAAACATAAATACAGTAATAAAAAATAAGAACTTAGAAGAAAATATGAACAAATCTGATTTAGAACTGATCTCAGAAAATAATCCGTTCAACATTGGCGAAAATTGGGGCGGAAAAATTTCACCTAATAAAAAGAAACCAAAACGTCCAACTTATATGGATCCTTTTCCACACTGGGATTTTGTACAATCACATAAATTTTTAGACATACCACTGTTAAAAAGTGGCAATTTATGTGAAAGCATCAAATTTAAAAATAAGTATATATGTGTAAGGAATACATGTGCTTTTGATTCCTTTGTACAATTGCTTTACCCCTTCCTAACACGCTCTATACATATTTAATTTTATAATATTTCGACTTTATATCTTATTATTCTTTACACTATATTTTACCAACACTGACATTATTATACCATATTTCACTGACAACGCACAAATCATGTAAGTCACTTAGATATTCTAATTTTATATTTTTTTGTTATTTAAGCGATCGCAATGTAAAAACAAAATTCTTTCTCTGCCTAGCCTCTATAGTTTCTGACTTGCGGGTACAGTGGCATGAATTGCCTGTCGAATGGTTTTGTAAAAGTTTTATTCACCTGAAGAGGGTCCGAATTTGGACCGAAACGTTGTGTTTTATTATTAATAAATTTGCCAGTTATGGTCATGGAAGTTTGGTGATATTTATCACTAGGGTGACATCACTAATTTTGATAAGTTTTTGATTATTTTATATAATTAGTCTATTTATATAATTAGTCTATATTCTGATGGATATCCGCGCACAAGAGCGGTATCGAAGATTTGTTGACATCGCTGTTATTTCATAATAACGTCATCATTTTATCGCGTCGAGGCATCCTCTTTTTAACTCTTTAGGGATTCATGCCTAATTGTTTGGTATTCGCTAGACTGTAACCATGTCAAGAGACCACGTGCCTTATCGATTTATGTCTTTCGTAAGGCAAGTTCAAGTGAGATATTTTTCCGAAGTTTCTCTATCTTTATGTTACTTTTATGTATCTGTTGGTGGTCTATTTCTTGACTGTTATCTAATAACAGATAAGATAGAAAAAAATATACCGCATCTCTAATAATTATTTATAATTAGACAATTATATATAGACAATTAGAAATTATTTATATATCATGTTTGTGCGCTCGCCGTTTGAATCTTCTGAATTGAGTTGTAATTTCGTAATAACGACGAGATGTAATAACGACATCACAAAAAATAAGAGTCATAAGGTTTTCAAGGATGATAAAACCTATCACCGTGAAATTAACAAAAACATTCGAAAGGCACATAATAACGCAAAAATTCACTATTTTTATATCAGATAGGTCTGTAACTTTATCGATAAATTATATGACAGTTATTATTAATTAATCATGTATTATTACAATGCTGAGCAACATGTAACGCAAAACTGGCACGATTGAAAAAATTGTTAATATATAATTAATGAATTATATATCTCCTTTAGATAAAAAAAAACTATTTTCAATTTCGTGCATTTTGTGAGACTGATAAAAAAACATACTTAAGTATTCCCTCCCCTCTCCCTCCCGATTTTGAGAAACTATGGGCATCTTATGTAGTGATCAAAATAAAAAAAAACACGTATTCTTCTTGTAACTGCTCATGAGTTGACCTTACCCAATATGAAAAAATACTATTCTGCAAAAACTCGATAATCTTTAGACACTAAATACAAATTGCGTTGTGGTTGACGTATTGTGACACTGCAGGCATTGTATGTATTTCTTCATCGGCCTTCATCGGAATACCAGTTATGTATATAACACTGTACGTACATTGACATACATCATCATAATTTGTATCATCATTTTTTTATCACAAATTATTCTTATCATTGCACTATGCCTATCAGTCTGTCAGAGAAAAATGACGGCATTGAAGATATAAAAACACTATCATAAATACAAAAATATGAAAATAATGAATCCTTTAGCAGTATCTAATATCTATATGTATACATAACTCAATATCGGAAGTAATAATATTCACGTAAACAAACCTTGTAATTATAAAAGAAAATATAATATTAAAGCAATAAAAAATTTTAATTAATCTATAGCGCAAGAAAGTCACATTAAGCTTATTCATTAGAATTTACTATCTATCCAACAATTTGAATTATAATTTTGTGCATGTAATTATAACGTATTTGGATTTCAATTGTACAAACAACTCTTTTTAAACCTTAAGAAATAGCAATTGAATGCATTCTACATATTTATTTGCTAAAATTCGTTTATTTCACGCAACAAAAATCTAACCTATATGCTTTCCCCCTGCATGCCGCGTCGCCTGCCCCGCAGCGGAATGTCAAAACCTCTTTAAATATTCTATCTACCTATGAAAAAATGCACTTGCTATGATATTTATTATTATTACATAACTGTTAAATGCACTCTTTCTAAACACGCTAAATTTTATAATTATATCAAAATGTTACATGTATTTTGCAGTTGAAAAGAATTTAGGTATAATATATCAAGTAATTAAATTTTACTGTAAAATTATTTTATAAATTTCAGAAATTGTTCCATAAATTATAAAAAAATATTTTAAAGCAAGTAATAAATAGAAATATTGTATAAATTTCAATTGTCATTATTAAAAAATTGAAAATTAGTTAGCACAACTTCTATCGTATGTTTTTACTTTTGTTTATAAATTAGTGACAAAAATATTGTTAAAGTAACATGCATAATTGATGCTCCTGATAATAATCATTAGATTAAGACATTTTTTTTTATAAAGTCTGAATAACGTCTTAAAAAAAACGTTTTTAAGAATACACTATTTGAATACGCGTGTAGTCTGCCATGGAATAATTACCTTAATCCTTAATGAATAACGGAAAATTAATGGTTCATGCTTTTCTGCTCGTTCAAATTGCTATCTAAGATAATTTGGAAAAAGGGCTTTTATACACAAGCGCGCTTTTCGTCGTCGGGTTAGAATCGAAGCAAACGAGGTGCCGAGGTAACGTCAAAGAATTCTTCAGCAATCGCCTATAAAATCATTAGCGCGCGATGCCCGAAGTTGCATTTAAACTAATTGTCATTTTGTTGTTAAGGATAAACTCATAAGATCACCTGCATAATAATTAAATAAGAAAGAAAGTGAGGGACCCAGGTAGGCGTCGCGACGCGTCGGTGTGCGTGTGTGTAGCGTGTGCGCAGCGACGCTCCAGATAATTTACCATATGCCCGGTATAATTCTTTTAAGAATCATTATTTAAAAAAATTTCCCGATAGGATAATTTGATATATGGTAGCCTTTTAATTTATAAAACTTTATTAAATTAATATTTCCTAAAGTAGATAATAGTATGCCCTTGGTGGCATTCCCAAAGTTTCGGTTTTCTCTTCATTTTATGTCGCTCCGTGTTTCTCGCAGTCATTATTGTTTTCGCATTGCTATCTTTCTTACAGCTGTTGCACGGAGTTTTTTTCTAATTTTCTACAGATTCAAATCATTATCATTTTTCTTGGCTGCATTCTCGATGTCGCACAAATACAGATGATGCATTTTATCGATGCGTTATATTTTTATAATGTATTAATTTATAAGGCATTGATGCGTTATGAAAACATAATGCTATAGGATAGTTGCACTATCTAAAATTCCAAGAATTGTTTTAATGTCCACGAATTTTCCCAGTTTTCAAGAATTTTCTATTAAAATATAATTAGAAATAAAGTAAAACAAATCATAATTTTAAGCATTTTAATTCCAAAAATCGAAACTTTATTGTTTTTTTCCTTTTATTTATACATATCATGAATTCAAAGTAATTGACCGAAAACGTTTTTCTCAGAAGAATTGTGTGGGATTCTTTAATTACTTGATATGCAACTTTATGTGTTAAAAAATTCGCGACGCCGTATATATACATTATATTAATTAATGTATATATACATGTATATATGTAATATACATGTATATTAATTAAACGTAACTTTTTAAATGCGTGATATACTGGTGATGCTCGAAGTTGGATGAAAGTTTGACACCACGATTATCATGTTATTCTTTCCTCGCACGTGTCGCGATAAGTTTTATTCAGATGTCCTCAACATTAAGATATTAATGTTATCAGATCACATCAGAGCGTGTTATCGTGCACTTTGCAACAGGTACTTTAAGCACTTTGATTTATTATAAACAATATATTATACCTATAGATAGATCTGAAAAGACATAAAAAAATACAAATGCTTTCAAGTGCAATTCGTAAATGAAATCACGTGATTGCAAAAGTGACAAAATTGTGCGAAAGCAGACATTCCTGCTGCCTTTCATCATCAAATGTTTAGGACAGCTGGAAATGGTTGCATGCCTTTGCAAGCACGCGCCATTCAGCGAGTCTCGCAGATAATTTTCAACGCGTAAGAATATGCAATTTCAACGTCATGCAAAGCGTTTCATCGTACGCTCGTATCAATTGATGCCCACGCAACAATGAGGTAAGACCGTTTATTACACGCACGAGATTATTGCATGACCATACTAATAATAGAGTCGCAGAAAGACCCATGTTAAATTGCAATTAGCAAATAATATACTATGCGCCGTGCACATATTTCACTTAATCTTCAAACAAATTTTTTATGCATTTTTCTTGCAAAAAGAAGTGCAATATAATGTCGCTATGAAAAAAAAAGTTTGTATGAGTACATTTCAATATTTCCAATTTCTTCTCGCTGCCTATTATTTTCTTCACTTTCATCCGATTATCATTGTAGGTATCTCGCAGAAAAGATTTCTCGATTTCTGTGTCGTTATTCATAATATTATTTGATAACAATGAATGTGCTTATACTCGGGCCAATGCACGTGCTGTAGACGAACTAAAATACGTCAGATACGATTGCATGGATGTGTCTTTGACACGTACGATTGGATAAGAACATTATTAAAAGTGCGACAGACCACAGCTCGGGTCTTGTGTCGATCGTCGATCGAAACGATTAATTGTAAAAGAAGATGCGTCTCCATCAGTCTGGCGCACACAGGATCGCGCTGATTTTGGCGATATTGACGGTAACATGTGAAATCTCATGGGCCAGTAAGCAGTGCAAGTCGGTCGTGATGGACGTGCAAGTGAAGAAGTGTAGACTCGGTGCTGAGAGAGCCAAGAGAGGTCTGGAGAGGTTTGATATGCAGAAGTATGATGAGAAGTACGAAGCGAAGAGACAGGAAGGGCCCGGTGAGCGAATAAAATTTTAAAATATTTCCTTTTCCTCATACGAACTTTTTACTTAAATACTGTAAATAAAGTATAAAACAATATTTATTAAAACAAATACGGAGGTAAGATGTTTCCTCCCGTTGTTCTAGTTTAGACTTTAGACTAATTTACTATTTTGCGAATGAGTAGTAGTTGTTTGTTGAAATTATATTATTATCAAGAATTCATTAAGTCACTTAATAAAGCATTGCCAAAGAGATTGCACGATGTCAAGTGCGGTATGTCGCGACGCTTCATGACCTCGCGCAATAAAAATCTTGTCAGAAAGATTATCCGCGAGAAGAGGCGCCGGCGCCGGCGCCGGCGTCTCGATCGCGGTCCGAATTTTATTAACGCTCGATTCATAATTCCGTTTTCCTCCAGACTATTCAAAGATGAAAGATTCAGCAACGCATGGCGTTCCACAGAAAAGGCAGCTATCGGCCGGACAAATCAGCGGTATCACCTTGCCGATTGTCGCGGAAGCTATAAACGGCGCTGCCCGAGCCCGGGTGTACGCCACGTCCGGGACAGAATACTCAGACCCTAGGCCGAGTTTATTAGGATCTACTCTCGGTTGGCCGAGAGAACATTATTTCGCGCCTCCTTATCCGCTCGGCAGGGGTGTCGTACCCGTCCGCGCTCCGGTAAGCCAATCACCTCTGGGATCCATTCTGTTATATGGGAAACAGAAGCTAGTCGGTTCATCAAGATCAATATTGCAATCCGTCAAACCGTTGTACGTCTATGGACTAAAACGCTTCACAATCGTGTGATTCATCTCGCTGTAATTTGTGCAAGAGAACGGCGATGATAAACATCGGTGACCCAACGACGATACAAACAGCGTAACAATAAAAATGTTCTAACGCACCGTTCCGCACTACCTGTGTGATTAACATGTATGTACACAACTGTAACTGCGCTATATGCAAATTCCTCCGATGATGTAGTGTGCTTCCACTTCTTTCGACTGACTCACAACAAAACAAGACAAATACGGATTGTATCGAAACACGTTCTAATTTTAGCTGAATAATTTTAACCACATCGTGTAATGTAACTAACAATTAATGCTAACGCAGAAATATGTTAGTAAACAATCAATTAACTCGAAAATGAAAAATAGCAGATTTAATCAAACGGAATTAATGATAAATCTGGATATAAAGGCAACAGGAAAAAAATCAGACTGACATATAATGTTCGGCAGGCCTTAAACGACGGTCTCGATTTAAACGACGAAGAACTGGACGAACTGTACAATGATATCTACGAAAGGCTACCGAGAGCTCCGAAAGACGAAGCTTGGAAAGTTTTCTTAGAAACAGCATCAAAGTGCTGTCAAAATGTTGACCGATGCCTTAAGGAAACGATGTACGTACCTTGCCTAGAAAGTCAGATGTTTTAACGCGTTGACTGCCACGATGGTCATCCGTAACCGGCATCTGACGCATCTTTAAATGGCGTCCTGGTGATCACTGATGACCGGCGCTATCAAAATTTTTTAAAACGTTTGTAAAAAAATAAATACCATACCAGTAATATAAAATTTTAGATGACATAAGTAGCTAGCTGATAACAATGTAAAGTAAAAAAATCCGTAATTCAACATACTACTCTTCCCTATGAAGATAGTCTTATTTAATCATATTACATAATATTTTATCATTATACAGAGTAGATCAAAATATATACAACCTGTGAAATGGATGACTCAAAATAAATCAAAATAATAGAATAATTTTTTTTCGAATAAGGCCTCGCTTTCGAGGAAAAGAACTTTATGGCATATACGGTAAGAGATACTTGCTGCGTAGACAAACGTGTTAAGAATTAAAAATTGCGATTATAAAATTAGTGCCTCTTAAAAGAGTATATTAATTATACAAATACAAATTATAAATACAATATCAAGTTTATTATCTTACTTCTCAATCAATTTCCTGTATTTGTACGAAGTCAGGTATTCGACGAAATAAATGAAACATCATTCAGTACGTATAAATGTTTATTAGTCGCTATTATTAACGCCGATGTCAAATGGAAATTTTGAATCACGGTAAAAAAAGCGTGCGCTATTCAATATTCAATATTCAAATTTATTGCGTGATAAAACTTCCATCTACAACTACTCCCTTCCAAATCCTTCGGATCTACTTATTTTATTAAAAACTACAAATTCCGCATTTAAATCTTGTCCATTCCATTGTGGACTAATAAAGTACGCGTTCGTCGATGTGTGTTTTAAAGCTAAAAACTCTAAGTCAAATCTTAAAACTTACACAACAGAATTTTTAATACTAATGAGATCAATTGTTGATAAAACTAAAATCACCGATAAATATCCAAATCGGACTGCTCCTCGCGCTTGAAAACGCTTATATCGAAATCACTTAAGTCTTTTCTTTCTTTTTTTGCGAGATCTCGCGACCCGATTGTACGGATTGCATTCAAGTTCATCACAAACTGCATTCGATATTCGAGTCCGCGCGGTTCCTCCAGGAGTCATCGTCGAAATTCACTTCTTCCTTGACGACATTATTCTTGACATTGAAGGAAAGCAATATATTGGAACAGTCGGATCTGTTTCCGTCAATATCGTCGCCGAGCAATCGATCTTCCACATGCTTCCTTGATCGCCAGTTCTTCGATGTCCAAGATTGATGGATGACACTGTTCGCCACACGTGGTCGCTGTTTCGATACGATCTATTAACACTAATGCGCGTGATGAGGCTGAATTTCCTATAAATAATATCTCTTCCACGCGAATCATTCATTTTCAGATCGATTTATCCGCCCCGATATATCCGTCCCCCGAATTCTCCGGTTTCTTCTCTACGAGCGATCATCCGTGTGCAAAGTCCATCAGTTATTTCAATGATGCGATCGATAGAACGTAACGGATCAAAGTTTGGCATTGGAAAAACAAATAACTTCGATCTACGAGTAATCACTTTTCAAAAAGTTCTTCTTATTTTTTGTTTGGACGATCGACAATCGGCTGCATTGTTTTTTTTTTTTTAGCACCGCAGCTTCGCATTACGATACAGAAGGAAACGACGTAGGTTTGTCAGTCGTCAATGTCGTTACAAATTTGTTGTCTAGAGGCTTAACGTTGTTGCGTGAAACCTGTAACGATAGATACACCAATACGTTACAATCAATTGAAGAATTTCATTAATGTTTGAAAATTATTTCGTTTACAAGACAGCACGCATGCAAAGGCAATCGATGGCTGTCCGAGGCTGCACTGCAGCCGTTCAACGTGGGTGACAAACAGCAGAACGTCATGCAAAATGAAATAAAGAATCATACGCACGATAACCACCTATCTTATAATTATTTTTAGATGCAAAGCATAAGTTAGTGACTGGTGTGTAATAAGCAGTAGTAAAAGAAGTGCGCTGCGCTGTAAACACAAGGACACAATCATATCAAATGTGTTTACAACTTCGATGAGACTTCGCGCTTCAGATATATGGACAAATCTTAAATAACAAGAATTCGGAATGGATAAAGATAATGCGATTTGAAGTGGAGCTTTTTCCTTCAAATCTTTCCTTCGAGCAGTCCATCGATTTAAGAAAACAAGTAAACAGCAAATATAATATTTTAATAAGCATTCTAAAATATTAAGCTTGCAGCCAATTCAAGTTTGGCAAACGAGATAATTATTGTTCGAGACTTCGAGAGATACCTTCATTGCATTGCGGATGTTAGAAGCATATTATATAAATTAGCAAAAAGGCATTGGGTCGCGATCAGATCGCGCTGCAAAAGCGTTTACAAGCGAAACCGCTAAGGTGCTAATATAAGCAAGCAATGACGACATGACGTGAAAGCACCTTGCCAGCTCGGCGACACTCCAGACGCCGACGCCGGCATCTGCAGTGCCTGCCGCGGTGTCGCTTTTTCGCATCAGCCTTCCCCTTGCATTCACCATCAATATTGCGACCACTTTTCCCCCTATGGCGTCCCCTTTTCAAATCATCGACCTTACGTTTTATCGCATCGCCGGCGTACTCCAACTCCGTTTGCGAATGCTGCTCCAGCAGATCTTTTGTCGTCGAATGAGGTAGATTCGCTATGTACGACTGATCTCTGAAAAACGTAAAGATAATACACATAAGTAAACAGATCGTAGGACGAAACAAAGTTATCTTGATGGGAACCCAATGTTATATTAATTTATTGAATGATACGTTTGAATTTATCTTTCAATTTTCAACTTCTAGCCATATCGATTACATTTTTCTTTAAACTCCCGCGAAATTATATTACGATCTACTTCGCGTCGCAGATCGATGACCCTACATCCGAGTTTAACTCGAACAGGATAGTGTTTAGCGAGACAAAGACACTTCAAGCTTAGACGTTAAAAATACAATAAATATGTCGCTCGATATGAGAGTCGCGTGAAAGCAGGTTCATACGACCAAAAAAGTACTGTAAACATTTGTGTAAGAAGGCTCGATTACGATTGTAGGTGGATAACAAAAAAAAAACAAGTCGCACAACTCGATAAACCCACGGGGCAACCAACGCGAAACCGCGGCGAGCGCGGCAGAGAAGGGAGGAGGAAAGAATGTTACGCACGATAGCGAATGGTCCTAATACTTCAGACCTTCCTGAGACCAGTTCATGCACAACCATGAACTTTAGATAGCAAAGATTATCACGGAGGCAATGATAACGCGGCCTAGCGCGCGCGCTCTCTCTCTCTCTCTCTCTCTCTCTCTCTCTCTCTCTCTCTCTCTCTCTTTCTCTCTCCCTCTCTTTTCCTCCTCCCTCGCTGATTGCGGTTTACGCTCTCTCGAGAGTGCACACGCTTTCTCGACAGTGCATATTAACTCCTTCTCATACTTGTTGCAGATCGTCTATTAATCAGCTGACAGCGCAAAACAAATGATTCAGCATCAATATAAATAATTATATAATAAGCTGCTATGTGTTACAAGACGATCAGCTATATTTATACGTATTGCGCGCAATTATACGTATTTATATTTTTCCCCCGGTTGCAAAACGGAAATTAATCGACTTATCGCGGAATGTGTCGTGCAAGTGACATGCATTTGCAATTAGAATTCAATCGATGAGCAACGGAATTTTTAATAAAACGAGAGATTCGAGTATCGATTTAACATGCCTTTTTTTAGATAGGAAATGTCAATTAAGATATTTTTGTTTTGTGTTATTCGAGCAAAATGAGTTCGATTAGGTATGTGTCACGAATTTGTCAAAATATTTATACACGAGAGACAAAATATTTATTTGAGAATTTCGAATAAAATTCTCCCTCTAATTTATTAGCGTGTTTAAAACGTATCCGAATATTTAAAAAACAGAGCTATGAATAAACACGCACGCAGATTAGATTCTCACAGAATTTATTAATTATCTGATAATCCACTCATATTTATAAAAATGAGAGAAAGAAAAAGGTAAAATTAGAAAGAAAGTTAGAGAGAGAAGGTTGAGGTCACTTTGTCTGTTTTCGAAAATATAGTAAAATTGTATAAAGAGAAAGAAAGAGAGGTGAGTGAAGGTGCAAATAAGAACATAAAAGAACGCACTAACATCCACTCACATAACGTCGTCCCTCGAGTCGACCTGCGTCTCCTCGGGAAGGGGCTTGCAGTATTGTTCGAGCTGCTCGTAGGTGCACTGATGATAACAGCACTCCTCGACGAGTCCCGGGCCGCGATCGGCCCTCCGCTCCTCGTTACTATACGAAAACGGTTCATTGTAGCCGCGTTCCCGGCACACGATGTGCAGGGCGTCGCTCAGCTTTCTGGAGCACAACTTCTGCATCCGGATATGAGACTTCTTGTAGGCTTGAGCGTCGGTGGCGTACAGGACATTCAGGAGAACCAACGCGATCAGAAGCACCACTCCGTTCATCACACGATTGCCACATACCATCATCCTTATGTTTCTCTCTCGTCAGGGACGATCGTCAATCAAAGTGGATGTGGAAGAAGTGGCGGAAGACCGGTAGCGTGCTTTCTATGCGGTTTCCGGAAGTCTCGATACCTTAAAGTCTTTCGCAGTCGCATTCGCCGACCGGATCGTTGTGTGTGTATATATATATATATATATTTTTTTTTAATAAGAGTTAAATTATTCGATTTCGCCTCGCGCCGGCTCCACGATCGCGACCGCCGAAAAGTCCCCTTCGAGTTTGATTCCGGTCTCGATGTCGCGATGTCTAACAATTCGGTATAGTCTTGAGAAATGATTTCCCGACGCGACTCCCGTCTCTTCTCGCGGTCACGAGAAATCGCGAAATGATGCTGCGAGACTCGAAGCCTTGAAGAGACCTCCGTTGGTACCGAGTTCGACGATATAACTGGTACCGGGCCGCCTCACCACGCGGTTCTTGTTCTAGATTTCAGGGACCAGGGGGAGAGAGGTATGATAAGGAGGGAGTAGTGGAAGAGGTAGGAGAGAAGGAGGAAGAGAGAGGAGAAGGAGGAGGAGGAGGAGGAATAGAAGCTCGGTAGCAGACGGACTCTCGCCGGTCACCGGCGACACCGCGCGCACGAGGAGAAGAGGGATCGTTAGCGGCCAGACGAATTCGCTTTTTCGTGCCACGAGGGGGACCGTCGCTTCGTCTTTCAGCCGAAAGCCGGAGAAACGAGAGTGGGCACTGGGCTGTCGGGAGACAGACAGGCAAGATGAAGGCCGACAACGATTCCGCTCTCACTTCGGGAATCGGCGCGTATAGCTACTTCGCGCTACATATGAGCGGTATATATATTCCCGAAGTATAACATAATATATTCTTTTGTTGGACGGACTTCGCGCGCCCCTTTTGTACCGCGCCGGCCGGGCCCAACCCGCCCCGTCTGGCTCGCGAAGACAGACCCGTTCTCTATTTCCGTTCGCTATTCATTTTGTCGCGCACTTGGACGGACACCGCCGCCGTCCGATTTCATCCCCCGTCTCTTTTCGTATCTCCCGAACAAAGCGAGCTGTTTTTTTTTATCGAGGATGCTGTCTCTTCGGACGCCCCCCGTAGCGAAGTCTCGACGTCTCGGCTCGACGGCTCTTCGCGCCGCGCGCGCCGGGACCGAGCGCTAGACAGCTACACGATACCGCATTATTCCTATTGTATCACGCGGGTTTGTAACTAATGCCCCGTGACTGTGTTAGATGTAGCGGCAAATTCAAGAAACCAGAATGGGTGGGAAAAATTTGCACATTAAGCTGGTTATTTTGAATTTATTATGAAAAAACGCTGCTTACACACGCTGATCGCCCCGTTTAAAATAGATAATTATATGCATCCGTATAGCAAACCCTACAAAAATACAAACAAATATTTTTCCTTTGTGTATGTAGCTGTGGTTATTATTGTAGCCACTTCTCATGTGATGCAACGACTGCGCTTTCTGCTCGGCTCCAAGAGAGTAAATAAAATCGCTAGTGATCTGTGGCGCGAATTACGTTTCAGGATCGAGTGACACGTAAATAGATCGCGTTTCGCGAACAATTGCAAGAACACTACTATTAAATGTCGTTTAGACCCACTATGGATCACGTGCACAAGACGTCGCGTTTCGAGCGAAAGTGGAGTAGCTATCGGTTACGGTTCGGCATCAATGAAGACAACCGTTCCATTATCTCTGAATGACTTATCGAAGACCGACGGGGGAGCCGGCGATGATCGATTATCGGGGTCCGCGCGGTATCGGGGATCCGCGCGCAAAAACACGGAAGGATCACGTTAAGTGATCTGTGATTCCGATCGAAGACAAAGTGTGGTCCATTAACGGCGACTTTAATTGATCGCCGCGCCTGTTTTGTCTCTCAGCCCGATATATCGGTCGCAATTTTTTGCAGATAGAGAGGTCGCTACACGCGACCTGCTACCCTCGTTTCTTTCGACCGATCTTAGCAATTTCGATATCTTTCAACAAATATAGACGTATGATATTTCCCCCGCTCGATATATCTATTCTATTCAGGTTCGGTTGTAAACAGTACCTTGATATCAGCGGATCTTATTCTACAGTGTTATTTTTGCGGAAAGCGGATGAAAAGATCGGCAAAGCGTATAAGCCTATATATATATTTTGCAACAACACATACTCAAATTATTATTTAAATTTAATATGTAAATCAGATAGATTTTGCACGAAACGTTGCAGGTCTATAATAACGTAGCGGGACCATCTTTTATCCGACAGTGAACGACGTGTGGCATTATTTTTTTCAACAGACGCGTTAATTTAAGAGAGGTGCGACGATTATTATCGATATATATGTTATCTGAACTTTGACGAATAAATTCCGATACGACAACGAGTCAACGACTCTCACGCGTGGGTGCTCGATGATCGGGCAATGTGTCATTATATTATCGTTGAAATACGAGAACTTTCCGAAGAAAGCAGAGCTCGTCGTCTGGGGTCTATTTATAGACACAATCGCAAGTGTCTGTCCAGGTGGTGAAACCGCAGTCGGATAGTTTTACGTCTGCGTCACGTACGTATGGTAATAACGTACGCAATCGATGACAGTCTTTCTCCCCCTTTCTTTCTCATTCTCATTCTCTCTCTCTCTCTCTCTCACACTCTCTCTCTCTTTCCCTCCCTCCTCTTTCTCTTTCTCTCTGGCAGAATGCACCTGCAGAACGCGAATCGCGATCGCGCGGCAGCACGGCGAGGAGACGAAAAATTTCCCCTGGATCGCACGTTCTCGCGTGACACGCGGATGCAGGAGGATGTCGACGCATGCCAAGGACACGCGCCACGTGCTGCAAACTACTACGTGGCGATGCACTCGTTTAACCGCGCGAGTACACGCGCGCACGTGATTCCTAAGTGCGCGCCGTTGTAATAGCGGCCACTTACGGGGTCTATTGAGCCTAAGTGAACCGCCTGCACATGGCGCGCAAGGAGAGGTGCGAGCCGCGCCACTTTAGAAAACTCGTGAAAAACTAGCCTCAAGTGGTCACACGTGGATCGTTAGCCTGTCAGATCGTCCCGACCAACGCGCGCGCGAGACAGCTACAGGAGGGGGATCTTAAGATGAACCGATTTCGCGCGCGGAAAAGTAGAATTGTACTTTTCCGAGAAATGTAAATGGCGCGCGACGATCATTATCAAATTAAATCAAGCTAAATTATTTTTTCTTTGTTAGACAATTTGGATTGTTAATCGATTAACTCTCGAATTTGTAAAAGTTTAAATAATATCGATAATATAGGCGATAATTATCAATTAAAATATTGTATTTCCAAAATACTATATTTTTTAAATAAATAAATTATTCGCAAACGTTTCCGCAAAAACGATATTATTTTGCAAAAATGAATTTTTTAATTCTTTACACCTTTGACGTGAAAATCAAATTAAAAACAAGTGAGAGAGAGAGAGAGAGAGCGCCGATAAGCGGTTTCACGAAATTACACGGAAAGTATAATGTTTAAGATGTGGTCATGCTCTCACTCTCACACGCGGCTCAAGCGATGATCTGCCACGGTCCAAAAATAACCCACGATTACAGAATCCTGGCGTTCCTGGTAACGTCAAATTGCAATTATCGCGTCACTTGCAAACTTCGTGATCGTTCTCTATCGCAGGCATCTGTGTCGCGCCTCATGTGCGAAAAACATTTCGCTGCACGCGCGATTTGACTACCTCTTCGTACATCCATTAACTCGAGATGCGCTGCTCGTTATTACCGCGATACGTTAATATTAGTTAACGCATATCGCAAAAAATGTAAATTATCCTGCAGTAGCGATCGCGTAATTGCCGAGGCCGAGAAACACGGAGACTGTACTTCGCACCCGGAACGCATGCTTATAGCTATATACAAATATTTTTAAAGGCGAATTATCGGCGGATGTGTGTGAATCGGGAGTCAGAGAGGGTAACGATGTAGACGACGAGAAAAGGGTAAACAAATAATTAATTTATCCGCTGGCAACGATAAAGAAATTCCAATGACGCATTTTATTGATCTCTCTCAGGTACTCGTGTAATGGTACAAACTTGTACAGTTTTTGTAAGAAGAAATTGGGTATGATTATCGGCATCAAATAAACAGATAAAATTCAATACAAGTTTCAATAAATTGTATATTATTACCGAAACTCCTCATAACTTGCAGCGTAAGCCTTGAAATGAGTGCAGGGAAAGAAATGTTTACTTTTGCTGGAAAGCGAATGTATCCAGACGTGACACGTAAGCGCCAATTAATTAAGTGATTCAGAAGACAAAACTTTAATTAATTAAAGGAGCGTGACACGCGCGCGGTCTTAAGCGCTAATTGGCGCGCCTCGCCGCGATTATTATGTCGGAAGAGGGATGAAAACTCGCAAGTTTTCCGGCCGCTGCGCGCGGCGGCGGCGGCGCGGGCGGCGCCGCAACCGAAAGAGAAACAATTCGATAAGTAATCGCAGTGGAAAATAAGCGTGTTATGGGGCGCGGGCATCAGTCGTCTATTATTAACAACGAGATATCGTTACGAGCAACAATATGGCAACAATATAGAATCGGAGCTTCTGCGCGTTCTCGCGCATTATCGGCCACGATGTGGCATCTCTCATCAATCCTGGCGGTGATGTTTTCGAGAAAACGAGAGAAACACCGCGATAAACCACGTTACACCGACCACCGACCCTTTTATTTTCCACGGTAGTCTTAGGCTGCAGCATCATTCTGTCTTCGTTGCACATCGAATATCAAACGAAGATAGAGCGATGCTTTCAGCTCTGTGAGCGTGAATCGGACCGCAGCCTTAACAATATGAAATATTTACAGTCACTAATGCGATGCAGGAAGAAACGCGAGCAGAAAGTTCGACTGTAGCCGGAGCGAGAGTAGTCGGCTCCGGCTCACGTTCTTCTTTCCCGACACGCGATCGTTCTCGATTTCTGAGAAACCACCGATCGCTTAGAAACGAGGAGTCATCTGGAAAGGATCAGTTTTCGTCTAACCGATGACGGTCATATTTCCTCGAACGAGATCCTCCCGGAAGAGAAGGCGCGGCGGGAAAAATTCGTGCGTTCGCGGCCGCGGCGCGACGACGGCGCGGAGACGGCCGGCGCGGCGCGTAAGAGCGAGAGATTGAAAATAGCTAAAGCTATTTTCTATCCTCGCGTAATGCACGTCCTTCTGTAGCTAATTACGGATCAAAAGATGGACACGGCCGTTAAAATTCGACGCAACGCGCGACGGTTTTACGGCAAAGTGCCTCCCGCTGAGGGTGCCGCCGAGAGCGGGGGAGCGATGACAGACACGCGATGAACAACACGAGGAGCGGCGCGGCGCGGCGTGTCGACGTCGCGCGTCGGCGAAAAATCGCTGACGTTGCTTATTGTTAGATTTAGGCTTCTTCGATAATAGGGGCTATAAGAGCAGCCGGAGAAGCGATATAAACGGGGTTAAGTTCGACCACGAGCCGGCCGTATAACGTCGACTACATATCGGCCGTATAACGTCGATCATCCGTTCTATCGGCTGTTTTCCTACCCGATTTTTCTCTCGCGCGGTACAGAGAGAAACTCGGCCGTGCAGCTGTGCCGAATCTAAGTCCGATTTGCGAGGCTATCACGTGCACGAACGTGATGGGCTGCACTTTGACATAACTGCACTTTGACATAACTGCCGCTGCCGGCGACGGCGATCCGGTTCGCGGGGGAGCATATCGCGCGCGTTATC